AATTTTAATGCTATACTTAGCATTATAAATTTACCCTTTCCCCTATTGAATTAAAATTCTTATTGCGAAAAAAATCCTGGTTGGGGTAATAATTTTCGCAATAAGAATTTTAATTCAATAGGGGAAGGGGTAAAATAATGCTAAGTATAGCATTAAAATTAAATTAAAATAATTTATAAAAATCGCTCTGCGATTTTTAGAACATGTGAATTCACTGACGAGAATGATCCTACCGAGGAGAAAATCTGTGTTATATGTCCGATAGTAACGGCGCACAGTACAGAGTAGGAAAAATACGGTATATGGATTCACTAAGCTATTTAATGGCCACCACCTTGCCAGGTCCTAATTCAATGGGCGTTAAAATTTCAATTTGATTTATATCTAAATAGGACCGAGAAATATTCATCGTTGAAATAATATTACCTTGAGGTTCATTGGGATTATTAGTATACCTCCGTCTTCGTTTCCGTCGCCGACGTAGAATATTTCCTTGTGTAATATCAACATGATTAACTGGTAACCAAAGAAAAGTAAATATTTTTTAAATGCAAATAATCATAAAATAACAAAGCAACAAAATAATTTTAATAAGAAATTGTGTTTTACAAACAAAAAGAATAACTTATCCTTAAACAGTATATAGTAAAGTAGTAATTATCTAAATTTTACCGGTTTTTATAGCCCCTTCTGTATGTAAATCTGCACAAATTTCATCGTCATTATCATCTGTAAAATTATTTACATAAAAAATTTTAAAATAATAAAAGTTATAGTTTGATGAAACCTAGAAATTTGTTTATAATATTAAATTTAGAAATGAGTTATGTAATAATTGTAAAAATAATAATAATATGTATTGTAAATAACGTAATATTATAAGTAAAATCTAATTTATAAATTCTTACCTATTGACAGTGTCATATTGTATTGCTGACGTCCGGCATCCTCATTAAATACCTGTAAAAATTCTCTTAACGAGTAGATACCAGTAGATAAATAACTTTCAGCTTCTAGTATTTTTGCACTTTTATATTTGTCGAACCGACAGCGATTTCTTGTAACTTGTAGACCACTTACTAAACGATCATAATTGATTTCTTGATCCATAATAATTAGTTTCGAGACGTTATCTACAAAAATTAATAATTTCTTACAATAGGAAATATTTCTTAATACATTTAAGATATATATACATATACACATATATACACATGCATACGCACATACGCATGCTCATACACGCAAACACACACACACATACACACACACACACACCACACAGAAGCACACATGTACACATATAAGTTACCTAAAAATATCCAAAGATTTGGATAAGCCGTTTGCATCTTTTGCGACATAATATTATGAAATGATTGAACAAGATTGTTGGTTCTAACTGGACATCCATGTACACTTATTTTTTTCGATATTGGGAGCCATGTGCTTCTCATGTATTTCATCAAAAGCATTGCATTAGGATAATTATCATATTCTTCATCAGCAATTATTTGCATGAGATTTAAACCTTCGGAAAACATTTCTGGTGGTGCCAATGCTAATGTCATTGCCATTGATACTATTTTATGTGGAGCTTTCAAAAGCCCTAATCGTTTCCATTTTTTCAGAACAGCCTACAATGTAAACATGAAATATTTATTAACAAAACATATTACAATTTTTTTAATTTAAGTATTAAAATATAATAAATAATTAGTATAATAATTAGTATAGCAATTATAGTAATATACAGGGTGTTATGTAATATCCATCTCACCTCTTAATTTTGTATAGAGCAAACTAAACTGAGTCCAAAAATTCTCTACCATTTTGCAATTTTTGCAATAGTTAACGAGTTATTAATTATTAAAAATCGCTGTCTTAGCCCAGCATAACGCCCAATTCAAACGCACGACAAGATGCGGCCATCCCACAATTGGCGTTCCTAGGCTCGCGGGAAGTTGTTTATGACACACGGCAACGGCTACGTACCATAAACAATTCTCCACGCGCCTAGCAACGCCAATCGAGGGACGGCCGCATCTCGCCGTGCGTTTGAATTGGGCAGTAGATAATAGGGCTAAGATAACGATTTTTAATAATTAATAACTCGTTAACTACTGGGAAAATTGCAAAAGGATAGAGGACTCTTAAATTCACTCTAGTGCATTCTATCCGTAAATAAGAGAGGAGACGTGTATTACATAACACCCTGTATATGTATAGTTTTAGTAATAAAAATTTGAAGTACCTGATAGTAGTGAAACCAGCAGCCTCGTAGAGATGCATGAGGAAATTGTTCGTGGACAGCATTCATCGACGCTCTTTCATAATCACACATTATAAAGCGCAAATTAGATTGTAGATCAGGAGCTAATTGGATAACTTTTTTCCATATGGATTTGTAAACTAATTGTGTTCTTGCTTCACACAAGATAAATAATACTGCAATACCCTAAAACATAATATTTATATGTTAAGGTAATTTCAAGAAAAAAAATATAATAAAACTATATAGAGAATAATAAAATTAGGATACCTTATTCATATAACGCACATGAACTGAGAACAACTGTGCAAAATTTGGTACTCTGGGTACAACCTGAAGAACATATTAATATAGAATTATTACAACAATCGTAATTGTCTACAAAAATATTATGTATTCCAAACAAATAATATATTTTAGCAAAAAATGATAATGATTAATACTTACAGAAAATGTACCATCTATAAAAATTTCAGAACTGTTCTCCAATATTTTTAGAAGCTTATTGCTAGTAAATATATAGGAATATTTATTATCTTCAGAAATAACACAGCCTTTATAAATAGATTGTACAGCTTTATAGTCTTGAAGTAAAGAGTCAAGGTCACACACATTTGCAGGTAATGGAGGGCGCATTTTAAGTCTTTCTTTTGACAATATATTTATCATAGAATTATACGATAGGTAAGTTGCTGCTTTTGGATTTTTTCGACAAACACTGTCAAATATCTCTTTCTTTGATGTAGCTGTCTCTTTACATATTCGAATCATTTCAGTTTTTAGATTTAAAATATCAAATACATAAGGCTCACTGGAATGATTATGACTGCTTTCTAAGATAAATGTTTCATTTTCTTGAATTAGCACAGCTCTACATGATGTAGTACGTCGTTTTGCACAACGATATAAATACATATATCTTTTATCCATATTATACAGGGTGAGTTATAACATTTGTCCCAGAGCTCGTGAGAAGGT